CAGGACTGTTTCATTTAAATGTACAGCTTCTCCAGAGGACAGTCTGGTGACTGCCTACAAGGCAATTTTGCCTCTATCCTTCTAGCTTCTGGCCCACTTCCCTGCCCCAGCAACAAATAATCACGTAATTTAGCCTGTTTGAGTTATCGGTTGCTTCTGGCTGAAAAGGCAAAGGTTTGTGTCATGAAGCTGTCAGATTCCTCTATTGCTGATGTTCGTTGTGTGTTATGGAGGACAATTTTTATTTTCTTCTTCTTTAAAGGAACGCCCCAAGTCACTTCTTTCTCTCTCTCTTAAAATAATATTTAAGGTTGTAGAACATAAGCTGTTACACTAGAAATGGCCAAAGTACAGCTTACCTGTGTGGTGTTGGATCTTCCTTCTTTTGTGCATGTAGCACCATCAGTCTTCAAGCACTTGCATACTTTTTCATTTCTGCAAAACTTCAGATAATTCACCAATACCAGAAATACTGTGAAATTGTAGGGTAGAGCCAGATGTGTTCAGTGAGGAAATTTGCTTTTTTTTTCTGCTGGCCCTGCCCTTTCATTGTATTTCAGTCAGTACCTTGACTGCAGGGCTTCTGTTTCCCATCACATTGTAAACCATGTTTCCTTACCTTTTGAAAACCTACTTCAAATGTAACTGAATTAAAAAAAAGTGAAAACCATGTTAGGAGGGGGGAAAAGGGAAGCAAATTCTCCTATGTGTGGAGCTGCCAGTAATGTTCAGAAGCTGACAAAGATGAACTGCTCATCCAAGCATAAATAGTCATCAGAATCTGGATGTTTCTTTCCTTGTGGAACTGGGTGCAATGTACTCCCTGGTTCTGGTCCTTTTAAAATATTTAGTTATCACATAGTTTGCTTTGTGTGGTGTAAGCTCCTGTTGCAATCATCTTTCAGTTTGCAGTACCTGAAGACCAGGAGTCCACGGAATGTCTGGTGTGCAGTGAAACTTGCAGTTAACTCTAGGCCCAGCCTGGTGTTTTCTGATCTGCCATATACTTTACACTGAAAACACCCAGGATAAAATGCCACAAAACTGAAGGGTTTCCATTGAGAGAGGTTTAATCTTTTCCACCATTTACATACTGAAGATGAAGACTTTGTTATGACACAGAGACACTTTAGGAAGATTTCAAACAGCAGCAAAAAATCGTCTCTTTAGGGAAGAAAATGTATTGTGTAGGCTGTTTGTTGTTTTGAAGTTAAAACATTTTTTCCCCCAAGAGTATTAGCTGTTTTGATAAGGAAAACCTCTTACATTTTTTTTTTTTTTTTCAAAGTGGCTGAGTAACCAAAAAGTCAATAATATGTGTAAAATGTGTAATAAATGTCAACATTTGTGCCTTTATTGCACGATACCCTGTCATACTGAAATACTACCCTTGCATAGACTGAAGACACATCATTTCTATTGAAAGTGTTTGTGTTTGTGGAGGTTTGTACTGCTCCATAAAACAAACATTGTTGCTATTTAAAAATTATTAAATGTGTATCTTCTGAGTTTGATTTTTGTAAAAGATCTTCACAAAAGCAAACCCATTAAGAGAACAGGTACTGTGCTGCAGGAAGTCTTCTTGGTAAATAGAAATACAAAAAGCTGCTAACTCCTAACTCAATACTAAAGTCCCATTCTGCTTTGCTGGTCATTTGAGTTGTAATAATCTTAATATTAGATATTTCATTTCAAAAAGTCATTTTTTTTACTCTTCCACCTTCTTGAGAGAAGGACCATTTTCTGGTCGTTCCTCTCTTTTCTCCCTCCTCCCTGACCCCCAAGAATTGTGCACCATTTGTCCATTTGGTTAAAGCAGAATATTTCTCCCTGTGTCACATAAGGAGACGTGTCCATTATTGGACAAGAAGCAGGAAAAGCCTAAGTCATAGCAATGGGTTAGCATAGTTTTCAGAGTCAACAAGGCTCTGCTTCTGCTCTCTCTCAATTATGTCATCTGAATGATTTGCAGACTCAAAGACTAAAGGGGTTGATACCACAACCCTTACACTATATATAGTTCACAGTTTTTATTTTGGGCTAGTTTTAATTTGCTCCCCAGGACTAAACAGTCTCCCTACACTTGCAGTTCAAAGCTAAAGGGACAACTTAGTAGTTCAGACCTCTCTTGGTAAGAGATGATGAGCTGGAGCAGGGCTTCAGGTCTGTTTTTTTTCTCAAAAGAGTATAGTTACATTTGACAAATCTGCACCAGACACAGAACCTCTGCCCAAGGGAAGAGATTTAAAGCTATACTGTTGCTCTGAGCTGAGATCTTAATATAGACACAGCCTGTATTAATCATAAAGATCTTTTGCCCTGGATATCTTGGTGATAGTGTTCAGCATGATAATATTGAGTATTACTATGTCTTTGGCTAATCAAAGCTGCTGCTGTTAGCTCCTGCTCTTTCAGGTTGCACTGACTGAAGTCCACTGACTTAAATCCATTGTTTGTATTAAGAAAGGGGGAGGGAAGGAAAAAAAAAGACTTTGGGTTTTTCTTTTTAATTTTTTTTCCAGTATTGCCCCTGTCAACATGCCACAGTTTCATCTGAAACAAGGGATGCATGAAGCTTTTCAGTCTGGGTTTAGTTTCCCTGTATTTTTTATCTTTGTTTAATTTGCTGACTGGCAGCTGGAAAATCACTTAATCAGCATATGTGGCCCAAATACCAGGCTTGACTTGAGCGTACTGACAGTGTCTTGGCTCGTACACAACTGAGACTAGTTTGAATTCCTGTTCTGTGATCTGTACAGGTAGCGGTGAGGGAAGAAGAAAATAATAGACTGAAGATCTGCCCTGTTCCCTTCACAGCTGTGTGCCACAGTAGTCAAAACCCAAATACCTATTCTGGTCTTGTTTGTAACCTCACATAGCTTTAGAGAGTCACTTCTGACTTAAAAGACCCTCTGTGGGAAGAGGAGCAGCTCTATATTCTCACTGCTCAATCTGCAGGCCTGTGTTTTGAGTCACTTCATTCTTTTGTCCTCTCTGAGGCACTGGCATGTTGCATTTATTTCTGTGACCTAAGGAGCTGCTAAGCAATGTCACCATGTTGGCAGTTCTGTTTGGACAACACAGAAAGCATCTTCTCACTCTCTGAATCCAGGGAAGTCAGTGGAACCAATGTCAGGGAAGTCCTACCCTGACAAAATAAAAAATTAACTTACTACCTTATTTTTTTTTTCCAGGTACTCCACCTCTGCGTTCTCCAAACTGAGCAAAGTAGGGATCCAACATCCTCCGCCTCTTCCTTTCATTGGAAATCTGCTCTTTTTCCGTGAGGTAAGATATGGTTTTCTTTGTACCCATCTGAAGTGATGGGAAGGGTGGATAGGAGGTAGGAGGAACTGAAGGGAATCCAACACTTCGAGCAAAGAACAAGCAAAGCTCTTCTTTTGGAGTGAAATGCTAGAAGCAGTTGTGTGCAAGCAGCTCTAACTTCAGGGTAAAATAACTCAAGGGAAATAAAATGTGTAAGCTTCTGCAGTTAATTACTTGAGCTTTTCCAAGAAAGTTCATGCCCTTAGTGAAACAAACTTAGTTATGTGAATAGAGCAGATTATGTTAACTCACCCAAACTGGTTTCTTCTGAGTGGTTTTGGCTCCTATGACCTTTCTGTTTGTGTTTTTGCTGATTGTACACATTTATTTTAGAGCCTGTAATATTGCTTGCTCCTAAGCAGTAACTGGAATCAGGTACCAGTGAACACTGTTGCTCTGTGCACCCTGTGTTGCCATCCTGGATGCAGAAAAGGGGAAGTACTGAGATTCTGCCCCCAGATTCCGTTCCTTTATTTTTTACCCACCCCCTTAGTCTGCTGACGCTGGCCTTTTTTGTTCCTCTCTCAATTTCAGTAATGCTTCTGAGGGTTTGAGCTCTCTTAATAATGAGCTGCATTTCTCTGGTTGGATCTCTCAGTAAAATCTCTCTTGTGCATCTCTGTCACAGTTCAACAACTTTTCAGGAAATCTGGGCTAACTCCAGCTGCTGCCCAATTTCCTCTTTGAAGTGCATGGTCATCATTATCCTTGCTGAGATTTAAATTATTAATGAGACTATAGTGCCTCTTGCCTTGGTCTTCATGGTGATTGTTCTGTCAATATCTGTCTCGTTATTAGGTAAAACCCGTTTTTACATGTACATCTGATTTAATTTAGAAAATAGCATGAAAAGTAGACTTGATCCGCTCTTTATTAATTTGAACTGGAACTGACAAGGGTGACTTTAACATACAGGAGATGCTGGTGGTGTGGAATATAGACCAGTTAATCCTCAGTCTTCTGGTTTAAATTCAGCTGGATGGCATAAAGTGACTCATTCTGTAGTTCTTTGACGACAAACTCCAGTTGTTATTAGCCACCTGGTAACACACTGTGGGAAAAGGTGTCTGGAGAATAATTTATTTTGATATATTGTAGGTAGCCTTGCCCTGTACCAGCAGAAAGTTTTTGTGAACCATTATCTGTGATCCATTAGGCCAGTTTCGTTACCAGAATTGCATTCGTGAAAGTCCCTTAAAGCAGGCTTATAAAGAAGAGGTAAGCTTAATTTTACTAACTTTTAGGGAAAAAAAATAATTAAAAGTAGCCATGAAATTGTATCTTAGAGTACAAAGAAATAATAATTCCATCGGGATTTGTAAACAGAGTTGAATGATGCAAAACCACAAGCCCCACCAGGCTGGCATGTCCAGCACTACAGCATTTCACTGTCCGTCTTCTCTGCAGTCCTGTTGCTGCCACCTGGAACACGCAGCGATAAGTCAAAGCCCTGTGCAATTTTTCTTTCTTCCCTCATATATTTTGCCATGTTTTCTGGATGGACTCCTGGATGGACTCCAGAGGCTTCCCATCACCTTCCTGGGGATGAGGTTAGTGGCTTAGCTGTGAGGGGTGGCTGAGGTGACTCTCTTCTTTTTGTAGGAAGTAGCAAAACACGAATATCTTTCATCTATAGTGGTAGGAAGTTCTTGCATGTTTATGGAACCATGTCTTTTTCACTGAACTGGCTTTTTAGAGCACCCTTTTTAAAATAGGCCAGCTCCTTCTTGGTGCTGCCAATGTTGTGCAGGGAAAACACATGAGCCACGTTTCCACTAAGTCATCAGATTAGTGTTTTTCAACCCATGAACACTTATTTCAGAGGAATCAATGAATGGTGACTAGGAGAAATTAACTGATACGTGCTTTACGGGAATCTGTGTATGTGTAATTTATACATTTCCAGTAGCAAATTTGGTCTGCAAATCAACACAGGTTGAAAAGCCCAGTACAATAAGATCTAGAAGACAAAGGGAAATAAAACATTTCAACATATAGAGACTTCTGGTCCAAAAAATGTCCTCATCTCATGGTTTCAGGCTTTCCTCCTACAATATTTTTCTAGGAATCATTGGATTAAGGAAAAGATAGAGGAGGAGACGGAGTCCCTTTGACATAATCAAGTAAATATAGGACCTGAGAATTTAAGAAAAAACTTTAAATATCAAAGGTTCTCAACAAAATTGTGGGAGTAAGCAGTATTTTTCAATTTGTAATAGTATAAATTCATGGATTTGCTTGTCTTCCCCCTTACTTGGTTGTAAATCAGTTCTAGCAAAGTAAATGGAGGTTCCTGTTTTACTCTGCAGTTTGTGTGAGCAGAGCATAAATAAACAATACAAGCAAGGTTTGATCAATAGTGTTGGGTTGTGGGGTTTTTAATAAACTTTCAAATGTATTTTAATCAAGAAAATGTTTTCTACATGAGTTTTTTTTTCAAAATAGTTATTTCAATGATTTTTCAAACAGCATATTTTCTTTGGGTGAGATAAGAGTTGCTGTAATGTAGTGACTCTGAGAGAGGAAGATGAAGACTGGAAAGTTAAGGACCTAAGGGAAATGCAACAGGAAAGATGTATCTACATCACAGAGAGGCAGACCTGGGGAAAACAAAGTTATTTTACTGGAAGTTGCTCCTTCTCTCTCAAGTACAATAAAGGGAGATAATCTCACCCTGAAACTAAAATATACCCAAGTTAATCGGCTTATCTAAAAAATGAGAAGATAGGAAATTATTGCAGTTCTGCAGCTGGGAAATTATCTGAGTCCAAGATATTAGATTAAAAATTCTTCCATTGCATGAGAACAATTTGTGGCGGATAAGCCTGATGTAATAGTAAATATGATTAGGCTGTTTAAAAAAAGCAGCATGTTCAATTTTCCCAATAACTGAGCAGACTTGCAGCAGACAGACTGCTGTTTTGCTAGAAACCCCTGACTCTGCCCCCATCTCTCCATGTACTGCATTTTTTCCTACCAGTCCTTGGAAAAACGTGAGGTTTGTTTGCAATAGTTGTGTAACAGGAGAGACAAGGGTCTACACAGCATGGACTTTCACATGTGGATCTGCATGGGCTTTGGAGCAGCAGGTTGCAAACAAACTAAACAAAACTCCTGTATTAATTTCCAGGCTAATGATTTTACTACGTGACAAATGCTTTGAAAACTGAGAAGGCACGTGTGCCCACATTATCCTTCCAAAGAACCGCGGCAAACACTTGACCTGTTGCTATGGCTGTGCTGTGCTTTTCTTCCCCTTTCCCACCCCCTTTCTAAAAAGGCAGCTGGGCTGCTTTAAAATATCATTGGCTCTGACATTTGCACATCCCTGGTTGCCTGGTACTGTACCTGTGTGCACTGTTCCCTACTCTGCCTTCCAGGAAGCAGTGCTGTGCTGCTGCAGCCTTGGGGCTGGTGTCTCTGGTGTTTTAGGGTGGTGGTAGGTGTGTGGTTGGCCACCTTCTTTTGGTACATGGTAGGCGGGATATGCGGTTGCTGTGTGTACAGCTGGGTCATGTGTTTTGGGTCCTTACAATGGTATGATCATGTGCTGCTTTCCTCCCATTACTCCTAGCAAGCTCCAGTGATGCTTTTGACTAGCTGTGTGCTTGCATCCCTGCCTTGCATTTTAATGAAAGACATCACTCTCTTTAGTCCCTCTCTGCTTGGACAGGATACTCTTTGTTTACTCTCTTTATTTCTGTCTGGCCTACTTGTAGCTCCTGAGCTATGCCAGAGTGGCCCATTTCTGCTGAATGGAAGTGGGGGCTGTGTGGGTGCTTTGTCTTGCTTTCAGTCTGAGATCTGGCTGGGCTGTGATGTTTTATAGCTGATGGGTGGGAGTGGAGAAAGGGGGAGTGCAGGGAGGAAGCAGAGTGCAAAAATGATTTTTTTTTTTTCCACTACACATCTGCAAAAAGCATCCTTTGAGTTGGACATAAAGAAAAATAAAAGGCAGTGTCTTTGCAGGAATTAAATTAACCCCATGTCTAATTTTCGGCCGAGAAAGCAGTGTGTCAGTGCTTAGTGAGAGAGGCTGCAGTGTTTACTGTTCTGGAATTTAATGGCACAGCGTGTAAACCCAAACAAGGCTGGAGACAAGCAAATGGGAGCAAAGAAGGTTGAAAGGGAAGAGGAGGAGGTCTCAGGCCATTGATGTGGATTTAATTACAAGAATAATATGGCTTACGCTGACAATGAAAGCCTACATATGTTTTTGTGTTGCTCTGTGCAGATAAACAAGAGAGAAATAGGATAGGGAGTGTGTGTTTTGCCACTTGATAGCTATCTACCTAGAACCAGAAAGATGGCCCTGGCACCACCAATTAATCTGGCTTTATCTCCCCCAGTCAGCTGTGTGTGTCCACTCTGGACTGCTGACTGCCCAAACAGACCTTATGGTGTGCCTCAAGCCCTCTTATATCCTGGGAAACTCCCCACCTTGACTGGGAGGCCTGAGTGCGCGTGTGTTTCATGTGACATGAATACCTGTGCTGCAGATCTAAACCTAGACATATCACAGAACGTGACGGAAAACCTGGGGTTAGTCGTGGTTTTATGTGTGTATTCATATGTCTATAAAGCCAGTCACTTTCCTCTTCAAATACATGTATTTTCCTAGTTTCATCTGATACTCTGTGCTACCTCCTTTGATCCGATGTTAGTGTTGTCATATGCCCTTACAAAGGTCGGTGCATTTTTTTTTTTGTGGAAGCCTAATGCAGGAAATCAAGGCATCCCAGTTAGCTGTCTCCCACTTGATTAAATACTGTTTACACCCTTCAGCGAGAGCTGGACCTCTAGTTTCTCAGAAGAGCATTGTGCAGAGCTGTGCTGTGGCTCACCTCAGCATCTCCCTGAGCTTCTGGGATCTCAACAGGGTGAGCAGTGTGTACACCTCAAATCCTTCTGTAGAGGCACAATGTTCTCTCCTTTTTTTGCACTCCATGTTTCTGATACCT